TGATGGATGAGACTTTCAGGCCTTTGTCTCCATTGAAGATATGAAAAAACGAACAGATTTGAAAAATGAAAAATCTCTTTCTAGGCCGCGAAAGATGTTGAGAAACCTGAAAATGATGAAGAGAAAAAAGATTAGTAATCACTTTCAATAGAAGCGAATATTGACGGTTTATATAACCAATAAAAAAGCGTATTAGTGGGATAATTGAATCCCAATATCGAGGTTTTATTAGGGAATCATGGTAGTTTTTAATTCCTAAAATTGTGGGATATTTGTGGTGAGAGAACCGTTGAGTAAAGTTGAATAATATCTTTTTTAATCTGCAAACGTTTTCCTATATTTAATGCACCTTTAATTTTTATTTTTAATTAATCGTTTTAAAATTGGAACACTAACCACGTGGCATATATTATTGGCTGATTTAGTATAATAGGGATAAAGACATAATTTTGTTTGGCCGAATATTTTTTGGCCCATAAGTTAAAAGAATAATTTGATTAATGACTTTCGAAGCCATCCTAATGAATCGGAGCTTTTGTATTTTTTTTTAGTTTTCGAACAGATGGCTAAATTCCTCCTTCTCTGTTGCCTCTTCGCGGCGGCGCTGACGTCATCATTGACGGAGGCCGGCGACAATAACGGAGTTTACTCGCCTTGTTCAGATTCTACCGTAGCGATCGGCGATGGATTCACTTTCGGCATTGCTTTCGCGGCGAGAGATTCTTTCTTTGGTACAAATCGTTCGTTCCCCTGCGATCATCGCCGCCTCTCGCTCAACGGTAACTCTGAACTCGCCGTATTCAGACCTAAAGTCGATGAGATCACCCTACTCACCATCAACACCTCCTCAGGTTCCTCCAGTTTCCGTCCGGTTCGTTCTCATCTCCTGATCTGTCTTGGTGAATTGAGGGTTTTCGATTGCAGGTTTTGATCGGATTAGAAATGAATTAAGGTCCATACTAGGAGAGTTTCATATAGATCTTCGATTGGATCGGAATTTCTCTGCCCAGATTAGTTTACTTTGTTGACTTGTCAAAATCCTGGCTTAAAATGTTAGCAAATTCTTGCTCTGTTGATAAGTGTTGGTAGTTTTATCTGGATTCTAAGTTAATGTTTGACATCTCTTGCATGATAGATTCAATTTTTGCATCAGTAACAAAGTTTGTGGAAACTAATCTCTGTTCTTGGAAGATCTGTGTGTCCTTTCAGCATTTGTTTTTGGTGAGATCAGAGGTTAAAAACAGAGATTTAGCAATGTCAGATTCTTATCACTCTATAGATTAAGAGTCACAGTTTCTGAAAGATGCAGGGGACAAGCAGAGTAACGTATAATGTGTATATCATCAGAGTTCGAGAGTAGATTATCTCTGGCAAAAGTGATATATAGTAGCTTCATTGTTAATAGTTTCTCTCATACATGATTTGAAATTACGAAATGATTGTTTTCCCTTGGAAGTAGAGGTCTTGAATGTGTTTGTTACCGGTTTTTGTATTGATACTGGTCATGATACTTTGTGATTCCAGGATGCTTCAAAGGGAATATGGTAGCATTCCCTGGTGCAAAATACGCGGCAAGATCAGTCCCAGTTATGGTTGCAGACAGCAATCACATCGTGACAAGCTTCACCCTTGTAATTTGATAACCTCTCACATCAGTCTAGATTTTCATCTAACAGAAACCTCCATCTCTCTACACCTATGTTGATCTTTTATTTGTGCTATTATCTTTGGTTAAATTCCAGGTTCTTGAGTTCCAGAAGGGCAGGCTTGAGAACTTGTTCTGGAAGAAAGGCGGATGCTCCAAATGTTCTGGAGATGATAAATTCGTGTGTCTGAACAAAGAAGAATGTGCAATCAAAACACAAAACTGCAAGAACCAAGGTGGAAAAGTAGATTGCAGCTTGGGGATCCAGTTGGCGTTTTCAGGCACGGACAGGCACTACACCGCGTTGAATTCATGGTACGAGGTTGCAAATCTGAAGCAGTACTCGCTTTACGGCCTCTACTCGAATCTAAAGGATTCAATAAGCAACCCATTTAAAAACTTCTTCTGATGGCTTTCACTTTTCTGTTGTAATTTTGTATGATTTCTGTCGCCTGCTTTGTTTGTTTTATTTCTTGGTCCCTTGATCGCATCATTTATGATAGTATATAAAATTTTGTATTTTATACTTGGCTTGCAACTTCTTTTTATGAGATAAATAGTCAGAATTCTCGATTATGTAATTTGGAAGTTGAATTTTTATTTTCTTAAAAAAAAAAAAATCTATATAGATAAAAGCTTTTCTAACACTAGGCATTTGGAGAAAAAAACGAATGAAGGCAGGCATACAATTATGGAAGCGAAAAAAAAAAAAAACGAGTTCGAATAAGTGATGCTGAGGCTTGAAGCTTAGTCAATATTAATGAGAGAGGAGAAAGGGAAGAAGTAATTGAAGTAGAATGGATGGGAGTAAACAAAATGCCTCGCGCATGTTTGGTCCTATGGATAGATTTACTTCAACCATCAATCAGGAGGCTTCTCAAGGTAGTATTGACACCTCAACACCAACAACATATCAAGAATCTCATTAAAAATACTATAATCTTTGCTGATTTAGTAACAAACTTACAATTCAACAACAACATATCAAGAATCTCATTAAAAATACTATAACCTTTGCTGATTTAGTAACAAACTTACAATTCACACTTTCCATTTGACACAAGAGTACAAGATCGTTGATTTCCAATTGATTCAACACAAACTTATTAACTGATTTCCAATTGATTCAACTCAATCTGCCAGGTTGTGATTTAAATCCGAAAACTATTAGTACTGTAAAGGGATTCATTTTGCAAAGATGAAGTGAAACGGAAATAAAGAGCAGAAAAACCCCAAAATTAACCCAACAAAAACGAGAAATTATCCAACAAAATAGAAAATTATCCACTCTATCTCAACGATTTAAATCCAAAAACCATGAAGTAGAAAAATTATCCAATCCATTATCCAACAATGGATCCAACAAAACTAGAAAAATATCCAATCCATCTCAAAGATGGCAACGATTACTCAAACAGCCAAATAAACTGGAGAAAACGCGTCAAGAGAATCATCACTTAGCTTTAAAGTGAAGATGCTGTGAAGTTGCTCACGCACCGCATCAATCAGAAGTGTCAGAGATTCTTCGGAGCTTTCTCCATGTTCTTTTTTTCAAAGATAAAACCTTCATACAAACAATAATCACAAGCTAATTAAGTAAGGGGAATAACAAAACTCTCTCCGTTCTGCCTCTCCATACCTGCGAGAAATCCCACAGGCACTGCTGCAAAGTAACGTAAGATGTTTTGCTTGATAGCTCTGTATTCTGCGTCCTTGGAAGCTGCAATCACGTACAAGAATTTATTTATTTCACTCCGAATACGATTGCGAATTTGATAGATTTCTAAATACGGAATCAGAATACGTTACCATCGGACGAAGAGAAATGGCGGCGAAGATGAAACGATCTACCTCCGCGAGTAACCTGAGCGATGACGGATCTCAGACTCATGGTCAGGAATTAGGGTTCGTCTCTGATTTTGTTTTCTTCGTCTCACCGAATTTTTGCGATTGGAAAGATATTAAAAGGATATTTGTCTGTTTTTGGGCTTTCCAATTAAATAAAACGCGTCCTCTGTAAGGCCCTAACCCGATCTAGTATTAGAAATCGAAGACACCGAGGGATATGAAGAACCCGTAAGCATGGGTTTTACCCATCTAATAATCAAGCTGGCCCAATACAGTTTCAGCCCAATTTTACATCTGCTGTTACTTTACATATGAAGTCATTCCATGATGAAAATGTAGGTGCCAGTACAAAACCGAGCATAAAATGGATATGATAATTTACTTGAGGTTTGTTTTGCAACGTAATACACCAATCATAAATTTCATTTTATAGAAGGAATTCGTTGTTAAATGAAGTAAGGAGGAAGAGATAAGGATGGCTCATTTTTAAACATTCATACATCCACATAGTTTGTGAAAACATTTTTCCTCTAACAGTTCATGCACACTAATTATAGCCAAATTAGTGTGCATGAACTGTTAGTGTGCAGAAAAACTCCAAAATTAATCTAAGTGATGATTCCCTTGACGCTTTTTCTCCAGTTTATTTGGCTGTTTAAGAAATCGTTGCCATCTTTGAGATGGATTGGGTATTTTTCTAGTTTTGTTGGATAATGGATTGGATAATTTATCTACTTCATGGTTTTCGGATTTAAATATCTGAGATGGATTGAATAATTTTCTTTGTTGGATAATTTCTAACAAAACGAGAAATTATCCAACAAAAAATAAAAAATTATCCAATCCATCTCAGGCAATTAAATCCGAAAACCATTAAATAGATAAATTATCCAATCCACTATCCAACAAAACTAGAAAAATACCCAATCCATCTCAAAAACGGCAACGATTTCTCAAACAGCCAAATAAACTGGAGAAAAAGCGTCAAGATAATCATAACTTAGCTTTAAAGTGAAGATGCTGAAAACTCGCTCACGCACCGAATCAGCACCGTTTTACCAAAAACGCCAACAAGAGATCCCCCAATTTCGATTCTTCTGCAGCTGGCCCTGATATTCTTCAGAAGTGTCAGAGATTCTTCGGATGCAGAGGAATTATGACCAGACGAGCAGAAATGGCGACGAGGAAGATCAGATCTACCTCCGCGAGTAACCTGAGTGACAACGGATCTTGTAGATCATTCTAATTCCAAAAAATGGAAAAAACTATCTTGTAGATTATC